CGCAACAATTTTTTTCCCATTTTTGTTGCCATGTGTTATAGATTATAAGAAGAAGCTTTCTTTACTAGGCTCATAATTTTAGTTTTAATTGTAAGCTTCAGTAATAGATATGTAATAAATAAATAAAATTTGATAATGAAATGCTTTACTTAGACAGAACTATACATGTTAAAGCAATGTTTAAACATAAAGTGAATTTTAAAGTTAAAAGTTACTTAAGAAAACGGCCCTACGTGTGTTTATATTTTCAATATATTGTTTTTTTTTTGTTTTTCGATGCCGTGCCTGTTAATTTGGAACAGTTTTTAACATTACATTGACTATCGATAGTACTATCGATGGTAGCGTTTGACACTATCGATAGTATTGCTGGAAACTATCAACGAGTAATGNACATACATACGTACGTATGCACATTCCTCACAACTAACCTGCCAACACGTTCTTGGCGCCAACAGAGAGTAAAGCAATTGAATGGTAGACGCGCTATAAATGCATACATACATACATGCATACGAGACAATAAATTACCCCTTAGTAAGGGACCCTTACCACATTCGTCGTGATTTCAGCAACAAGTCAAACGACTTCTGCAACAAATGATGAGCTCTCATGCTTTCGGAACCGTTCAACTGCCGAGTTTGCTAGTTTCGTGCACGATCTTTTGGAGTACAGGGCTCGAATCGTAACACCCGTTCATGGATCGAAAACGATACGAAAGAATATTACGTGATACGTCAGGCAGTATAAGCTGAATGGGACAAAGAGTACGTTCACGTGTGTCATAATGCGAAATATGTGTTTTTACGTGACGAGTAATACGATAACGTATGTTATGATTCGAGCCCTGGTTTGCCGAAGTAGGTATCAGTATGAGCTGTTATAAGCAGTGTTGCCACAGACACATTTTTTCCTACCAAAATTTCCTACTATAACCAACCAAAACCTACCAAACATTTTTTTGAGTTTTAATATATTTTTTTTTCAATGTCAAATTTCTTAAAAACATAGCTAACATAACGTTTAGTAAAACTAAAACACAGCTAGTACAATAAAAACAAATTAACTACATATAACGATTCATTTTACTGTACATACATACAAATCGTCATTAGATACGAATAAAGACGCGTGCTCAAAAGTTGACCGCGAAAAAAGACGCTTAAAAAATTTTGGCGAAGAAGGACTCTTAGGGCCGGTTACTCAATGTCTGGTTAACACTAATCTGCGGTTAAACATCTTTATCGACGTGTTCGACTCCATGCATACAACAGGGAGTCGATATTCTCGATAACTATGTTTAACCGTCAGTCAGGCATCTTTATTGACGTCGATAACTATGTTTAACCGTAGTGTTAATCAGACATTGAGTAACCGGCCCTTAACATAGGCGAGGGCAAAAAAAGACGCGTTAACCTCTTTGTCGGCGAAGAAAGACGAAGAAGACTTATTTTCGCGGTCAACTATGTTTGCGAGTATACGAATTCCCCAAAGAGTTTTTTCCGGAATGAGGTTGAATCCATGTTTACGCGTCTTTTTCGCAAATTTTTTTTCACGTCTTTATTCTTGTCAAGTGACTATATTATTATTATTTCGTCGGAGATACTCGCGTTGCAGCTTAAGAAGGTATATTGTGATAAATCCTTATTGTAATCGCTCCAACCTTAGACTATTTAAAAAGATCAGCACTAGAGGTGTCAAACTATCGATAGTCACACCATCGATAGTTTTGATAGTTTTCAGAAAAACTATCAATATTCACGATAGTCTCGAAAAAACAAAACTATCGATAGCACTATCGATAGCGCTAAATCAGTTAGGTTGCTTTGTTTTTACAGGATCATAGTGAAATAAATATTTTCTTATAAAAGTTATAATCATTCAAAATTAAGTAACTGCTTAGCCAAAATACTTCTCTTTTTAGAAAGTTCAAAAACAAACACAAGTTATACAAACAAAACAGGATTTACGATTGCTGTGCCAATACTTTGTTCCGGCAGTGTATGTATATAGATGTGATATTGTGTATGTAAAAATATTAGAATGAAAATTGTTGCATATGTTGTGAAAAATTTGCTGTGCCAATACTTTGTTCCGGCAGTGTATGTATATAGATGTGATATTGTGTATGTAAAAATATATAGATATGACCCACCACACATACATATGTGCATTTATATGTATGTATATCGCATAAAACGATTTAAAAAACAATTAGCTATGTTTAAGTCAGAAAATTTGTCTTTTTTTTAGTTGACCATTGACCCCGGAATTTACGATAGGGAATTTATTTTTGACGAATCGAAACAGTTTGGCTCTTTTCAGCAATACTTGGAGTTTAAAATACTATTTCATTTAGGTCTCTATTAATTTTCGATCGCTAGATATTTGCTTTTATATATACATTTTTTTTTAGTTGAACTTTCACCTTGGAGTTCAAGGTCGGGAAACTGTTTTTGAAGAATCTGAATAATTTTCCCGTATTCACCAGTATTCGGGCTTTATAATGCCGTTTAGTTTGTGTCGCTATTTTGTCAATTTTTTCCCAAAACAGAACACAGTGTGCCGGTTTAAAAGACCCTAAGGCTTCTAACGCTGCCTGAATATTTTACATATACAGTATATTTTGCTTAGCTGCACATCCTTCTTTTCACGAAAAACGTGTGCACTTAACCGAAAAAGGCACTTAAGCGAATTTTCTTTACTACTTCAATGAGGAAGGTATCCAAATCCCTATGAATCCAAATAATGGAGAAGCACTTACCACGTAGAAATTACTGCAAGCGAAATTTTTACTGAATAGTATCTAATTATCTATATAACTACATAAATTGATAGCCATTTTCGTTGTTCCGCGAGATGAGCAAAATAAATAAAAGATTGTAAAATTAGGTAATTGTAGGGTCAGTGCAGGTAAACGTAATACTTTCTTTGATAATTGATACTAGTTGCACAATTTTTAAGGCAGGTATCGCCAATGTGCAGGTATGTTGAATGCATCTATCGGAGCAGTTTCCTTATAAATGTTTAAAATAATGTCTCTGATGCACATTTTGGGGTAGGTATCTTAAATGTGCACTTAAGCATAAAGGCAGCAAAGCAAAATATACTGTACATACATGGGCGTAGCCAGGTAGGGGCAGGGGGGTGCTCGAGCCCCCCCCCTAACTTTCAAATTTTCCTTATATATATATAAAATAGTACCCTGAAATGCCAGCTTAATAGGGTCGAGCCCCCCCTAAATTTCATTCTGGCTACGCCGATGTATACATAATATTTATTTTGGCCTCACTCGCTTCTACGATAAAATTCGCGAGCACAGACTTCGATTGCGAAGATCTCCGGCCAGAATATGGTTAGGTACAAGCCCATTGGCAGACTTTCCTGAAATCTTGGTCCAAGTACGCCATAAAGTATATATGGATGTTCGTATTGTATATTGGCAATAACAAGGGTATACGTTTGTACTGAGGAATCATGTTTGCGGCCGCCGTTATACGAACGCACCGGTGAAATATTCATGTAAAAAAAATTGCTCAAATGTTTGGAGATACATATTTCATATTTTTCTCAAATAACTATTACTCGTAGTCCCGAAACCTACCAAAATCCAATCAAGCCTACCAACATACCAAATGGGAAAAAACCTACCAGTTTTGGAAGGAAAAGCCCATGTTTGGCAACACTGGTTATAAGTATCGTTCACTTGTGGTGGCTGTATTTGCAAGACAGCACGCTATGCGCTGGTGTTCAGTCAACCTCTAATTTCGTTTAGGTATCGATACTACTAAGCCAACGCCGCTGCTCAGTCATACAAAGCAGCAGTATAATTGAGTATGAAACAGTTGACATTCAACCAATGCCAATCCCTGTTATACACATCCATACACATTAGGGTGGTTCATAAAAACACTATTTTTGGAAATTCATAAACACTACCTCAAATTATTGTTATTTGTGATAAAAAAAGAGACATGTATTTTTTTATTTTGAAAAAAAAGTTTTCTTAGAGGTCGCGCTGGTCGGTTTTTTATAAAAACGCTGATGTTCTCAATTTTTTTATTTTCTTGACATGTTAAAATGCAGCTAAAAATGTGGTTTTTACATATAATTCCTCTGATATTATTGGGGAACTTTCCTTTAATTACACACCTGTCTTGGACAATTAGAATGGGTCTAGTTCCCGAAAATAAGCTCTCGAAAAGAGAGTAGTAAAATTAAAATAAAACGTTAATACTAAACGATTTACGCATTGTCATGGGTTGGAACTTGTTACCAGGGGGTTTCTGGGGTTGATAATTAGGAATCTGAAGTCAGTTTTTCGATATTCAAAATGGCGGTCCATTTTTTTAATTGATTGGATTTGTTCGAAACCCGGCACTCGACAGTTTTTGGGGTCGCTGATTACGAATCTGAAGTTAATTTTTTTAGATTCAAAATGACGGCCCCAATATGGCGATCAAACTAAAAAAAAAGTACTAAAATTAAAACGTTGATACTGAACGTTTTAAACATTGTCAAGGGTTAAAACATGTTTCGAGTGGGTTTCTGGGGTTGCTGATTACGAATCTGATTTTCAAAATTCAAAATGGTGGATCCAAAATGGCGACCAACTTAAAAAAATGATTGGGTTTGTTTGAAACTCTTACCCGCCATTTTGAATTTTGAAAATCTGACATCAGATTCGTAATCAGCAACCCCAGAAACTGGCAACGTGTTTTAACCCTTGACAATGTTTAAAACGTTCAGTATCAACGTTTTAATTTTAGTTTTTTTTTTATTTGATCGCCATATTGGATCCGCCATTTTGAATTTAAAAAAATTTACTTCAGATTCGTAATCAGCGACCCCAAAAACTCTCGAGTGCCGGGTTTAGAACAAATCCAATCATTTAAAAAAAAGGACCGCCATTTTGGATCCGCCATTTTGAGTTTCGAAAAACTGACTTCAGACCCCTTATTAGCAACCCCAGAAAAAAAATCGTTAAAGCTCCGAAAAGTAAAATCATTAAAAAAATTATCTCATTTATAAGATATATTATATACTAATGATATATTTCCTAATTTGTGTTTTAATTAAAACTGTTTTAATTCGGACCGCTGGAATTGCAAAGTGAAGATGTCAAGGCTGATGCTGAGGTTTTCCTATGTCCTATGTCACATAGGCTACGTGTTTTAAATGATTTTAAATAACCAGTATACTGCTGACTTCTCTAGAACTAGAATTATTAAATCAATTCCTGATTATATTTAATTACATACAAAACATTCAAAGAAAAACTCCACGGATTTTCATTAAGAATTGGCATTTAATATTTTGCTATCCCGGGCATCAAACGGCAGCTAGTTTTGGTCTCGTTTGCTGAGTTAGAACCCCAATATCAACAAATTATTTATTTTTGAAACCTAGAAGTCAAGACGATTGGTACCCACTTTATTTTATTCGGAATTAGGGCTTTTTTGTTATTAAGCTAAGCCTTTTATTTTTGCCGGAAAAAATAAGTCACATTTTAACCGTTATTGTTTGACTGAAAAAATAAAAATTAAATTATAACAGTAACTTTTTTCTAAAAAAATAAAAGTCACAAAATAACTTTTTTCACGAAACCGATCGGTAGGGTCCCTGAGAATTACACGTAGAATCCTCCTATGCTATACGCTTACAGTTGAAAAAATCTCCCATACAAATTGACCGAACTTAATATACCTACATACATATATGTTTTTAATACTTACTATCGACACGGAGTCATTTGATACCCTGCAGAAAGTCATATGCTTTCCAGTGATCATGGTCTGTTCAACGCGCTTCGTAAAAAGTGGCTCAGACCATGGTAGCTGCTTTAAGTGGGACAGAAAAGTGCGATCATGAAACTCGACGGGATCCGAGATTATTAATTTATCTGGAATAAAAAAGGAAAATTTTGGTACACCATTATTAAGCTATTGATAAGTGTACTCATTTAAAAGCGCAAAACTCTCGCAAACTGGGCAAACTGTGCAATTTTAAACCCTCGCAAATGAGTCAGAAAAAATACTAGTTTACATCTAGAATTCCCTGACTGAAACCGAACTAGTTCGAAAATGACCAGACTTGTACCAAGTAAAAAACGATTTATTCAGGCCCTGTTTTATTTAACTTCGACAGTTTAATACAATAAAGTACACAAAATATTATAACTTTTATTATAACCTTTAAATCGAAAACGTATTCAGTTATACCAGTCCGGTTAAATAATGATTAATACTCATAATGATTATTAATTAAGGCATGTTTTTTTTGGATAAGCATTTAATGATCAAATACCGATATTACCACCTTTTTAATGATTTAGAATTAGTTACTTAAAAAACAAGTAAGAAAGTCTAAGTTCGGGCGGAGCCGAACATTAAATACCCGGCGCAAGTATTAAATATATGTTTTCCACCTTTCCGAAAGCTACCGCTACATGATAAGCCGGGNCATTATTTTGTTATTATTGATCATTTTCAATTATTTGTGACTTTTTAATTACACTATTAATATAATTATTTGATAAATTTCTATTATCAATCAACAAGCCAAGCTATAGACAAAAATTAAGAATATTTAATAACTGCTGGAATTAATTATTTATTTTATTCTTATCCAAATCTCAAATTTTAAACGATAATTATTATTTTTATAAATTTTTAAAAATAATAGACTGAAATGTGCAAAGTTAATGAATTTAATTTATTTTAATGAAAACTTTCATTTTTATTTTGTGTGCATTGTGCTGTGCAACCCTCAATCAGCTATTTTGTTTACATTCATTTTGGTTTGTGCTCAACGCTTTTTCAAAATAACTGCGGTAAGACTTAAATATTTACTCAAATTTGAGTTTCAATTGTTCAACTTTATAAATTATAGTCAAATAACTAAATGTCAGAAATTGCATAAAATATAAAATTGTCCTCATGAAACACGTGGCGCAGAGTTGCCCAATGCCCAAATATGAAACTTGCGCGTATATATAAGTACCCTTAATATTGTTCGATATCATTTCTAAGCATTGTATATAAATTCATACCGCACACCATATTAAAAAAAAAAAAAACCAACACAACTCAAAATAACACGTTCGTCAGAAAATGCGAAAAACTATTTCGTAGCACATGCCAATCATATGGTCAAGGGAGACTTTACCTTAAGTTTTTCAACAAATTATAACATAAATTTGATCCAGCTTTTGTTTAAAGATAAATAAAAGCTCTGGGTACATTTTTAACACATAATTTCAAAAATACCAAATTTTGAGTTGTGTCACATTTGAAGGTCGTGTGCGGTATGTATATACATATGCACAAACAGGCAAAATACATTCTGACCAAATCCAAATACACCAGGTTAAACGCGGCAAAGTATAATTTTATTCAAGCCTTTTCGATTATTTTATTATCTATTGGAATTACTTTCTGCCGGTTTCACAAAAGCAATGTAAGTCAAAAACGATTTTTTTATTTGTTTTTAATATGGAAACTGACAGAAAAAAATAAATTTTCACTTAAACTTCTTTCGAGAAACCGGCTATCAGGCTATCTTTTCTAGAGCACTAACTACCTTTCACCAACAAAACATCAATCATAGGCTTTCTAACTCATTACTAAGGCCCGGATTTTTATTCAATAAAAAATCGAAATTATGCGCATTAATGTGCGCTAAAAAATTCAAAAATTTGCACTGAAAACAACCAAAATATGCAAAAGGACTTTTCGCATTTGTTTTGCTTTTTTAATTATTATTTTTATTTACTTTTCATGTTTTATTTAGAGTTTATAATTAACACAAGGATATACTGTAGTTTTTAGTGCCACGAAAAACTCAAAATTAATTTAATAAATACATATCTAAAACCTTACCATCTGTATTAAAAACAATTAAGCACTTAAAGTAAAAAATTCATTTACAATAAATTAAAAATATGTATTTGTTTTCCTTATTTTTTTTTAATTTGGTTTATTCAGGGCTTTCTTGGCAAACGAGATAAACGAGATTCACGGTACCCTGGAATCAATTTCAACCCTCAAGTTGCTTCCCTCCGCCGATTCCTGTTGCTACTATTTCGGGGGACCTCACTGAACATTTACAAAAAAAGACAACAAAATCCGTCGGGCGCTTTTTTTCTATGGTAACTTTTACTAATTCAAATATTACACAGGCCAACAAACTTTTTAAAAAATTTTGTTTCCTAAAATGTTAAAGCTGTTTTCGATAAAATCAGTTTTTGCTATTCAACAAATGACTATAAGTTACCATCAAGTCAAGGTGCACGAATGGTATTTTCAAGGATAGTAGTCGAGAGTTCTAGCTTTAGTTTAAGCCCAAGTGGAAGGTTCTATCACCTTTTGTTTTTTGCAAGAGCTTCTCAAATATTGTAAAAACGTGATTGACCACGTTTTAACTGGAAACTGGAAACTTTATACTTACAGATTCGTAATCAGCACAAAAGAGGCTATCGAAAACAGCTTTAACATTTAAGGAAACAAAATTTTTTTAAATTTTTGTTGGCCTGTGTAATATTTGAATTAGTAAAAGTTACCATAGAAAACAAGTAAGAAAGTCTAAGTTCGGACGGAGCCGAACATTAAATACCCGGCGCAAATATTTAATATATGACTTTCACCCTTCCGAAAGCTACCGCTATATGGTAAGCAGGGGCGTATCAATTTCGAGTAAATTACAATCCTTAAATTTTGAAGTTTCAAGCAGTTCTGAAATTTACCGTTATATGAAAAGCGGCCTCAATTTTAGTCCGATTTCAATAATTTTCAACGTTTTGCTTTCATATGGGAAGCACAATAACCATACCGAGTTTGGTAGAAATTGGTAGAACGGTTACCGAGATACATATATGTGATTATAAGTAGGCGGTGCCACGCCCATTTTCCGAAATTTTATCACATACGTATTTCTTGTTTACGAATTGTTGCAAGCATCAATTTTGAATAAATTAGCTTCAATATTTACTGATTTATCGAAGATTTTGTATTTCTCGAAATTTACCGTTATGTGGGATGTGGGCGTGGTTATTGTCCGATTTTAAAAATTTTCTGCCATTTGGCATGTTGTACGAAGGCCAACAACTGTGCCAAGTTTGTTCCTAAGATATACACATGTAACCATAAGTGGGCGTGGCTACGCCCATTTTCCAAAAATTTATAATATTCTTATTTTTCGTCTAAAACTTATTGTAAATATTAATTTTGATTGAATAATCTCCAGTAGTTACTAAAATATCGCGGTTTTCGTATTTCTGAAAATTACCGTTATATTGGAAGTGGGCGTGGTTACAGTCCAATTTCGCCCATTTTCAATACTAACCTACCTTGGATAAATGGAAACCTACATACCAAATTTCGTTGAGATATCTCAATTTCTGCTCGAGTTATCGTGTACACGGACGGACGGACAGACAGACATGACTTAATCGACTTCTCTATTCATTCTGAGCATTTATGTATACATTTGTCTATATCTATCTCGATTCGTTTTGGCTGTTACAAACAACCGTTATGTGAACAAAATTAATATACCCTTGTGCACAAGTGCACTCGGGTATAAAAAGCGCCCGACGGATTTTGCTCTCTTTTTATGGAAAATATTCAGTAAGGTCCCCCGAAATAGTAGCAACAGGAATCGGCGAAGGGAAGAAAATTGAGGGTTGAAATTGTTTCCAGGGTACCTTGATATGTAGTTCTTTAAAATTTTAAAATTTAAAATTTTTAAATTTTAGATTTTAAATTTTTAAAATTTAGCTTTCCTATTTGGCCGCAAAAATGTTTTATATAAGGTGAACATTCTCTCTACGTCAACACATGTAATTGGGGCATACTTTAAGCAAGCTAGTTAATTGGGATTATAGCTATTAAGCTATCCCTTCACACCATTTGTACATTTGTACAGTTTTATACATTTTGGCAGTCACATAGTGGTTAGTTAAGTTGAGAAATTTGAGTTCAGCTCAATAAAAGAATTTCCAGTTCCACTTCAGGTCGAAACCTAAAGTTTGTAATAGGACCAAAAGATACAGCATCCCCGATTCAGTAATTCATATTTTTTCGTTCCCCGCGGACTGACACATTCCGGACAGACCAGAAATGGTTTATTTTTACAGGAAGTCCGTTCAATAAAAAAGTTTCTGGCAAAAGTTATGGATGTTTTTCCGCAGAACCCGAATCTGTGGCACAAAAATCGAGGTCCTATTAAAAAAAAATAAATTCCAGTCAGTTCACCCCACATCCGAGCTAAATCGTACGTCGGTAATACGCAGGGCTGGAAAAAACATGTTCTTTTTTTCAAAAAGACAAATACACCGAGTTTTATTAAAAAAGAAAAAACATGTTAAAAAAAGTTTCGTAAATGTTTTAATTTACATGACTCAAACATATTTAGATAAGTATTGTTTTAAACACTTTTAATAATTTAATACATTCGAAATTAGGGGTAGGTAGAAATCAAATCTATCGAAGAACTCATAAAATATCTATTTGAAATTAATAAAAATGTTAACCGTTAAAACGAACGTTATATAAATAAAAAAGTAGTCTTGTGTATTATTGAGATTGTGCTAGTTCTCAAAGTACCATCGCGAAATATACCTTATTCATTAATTTTCTATGTTTTCGTTTTGTTATTGGGGATTTTTGTAGTTTGGGAAATCCCCGAGTTCAGAGTTGCCATTGAAAGTGTCTACAATTTATCTCAAATGTATTCAGCCTTAGTATTAGTTTCTTTTTCTCCGAACCGGCTCACTCATCATTTCCGTGTATTCACAACGGGCGGATGAAAAAATTCGGACGACAAGGGACATTATGTTGCAAATAAAACTTTTGAAAAGTACAAATCCTATTATATATATGATTGATGTTTTTTTATATACGTTTTAAACGAGTTTAGAACAAAATGTTTTAAAACGTGTTTTAAAGTATAGGTGGGTTTTCCGCATTTTTTAAAACAATTGTTTTAAACAAATGTTTTAAACATTGTCAACCCTGGTAATATGACCAAAAGATGTAGCATTCCCGACTTGGAGATTTAACTTTTTCGTTTTCTAATAAATACATTTTTGTCCGTTTTAGCAGTCCAGGACGAGTTGACGTTCGAAGGCCATATAGGGGTTGAAAACGGCACTTCCGTGAAAAAAGTTTCAAACAAAAGTCACGTATTTTTATCCTCAGAATTCGAATCAGTGGTAATCAGTGTAACTAAACAGTGCAATGATTGAGTGAATATTTTGAAATGTTTTTAAACTCACTTAGCAATGATTCTTCATACAGCCGCTCCTCATCAGTCATATTAACAGGATTCTTCTTCGTTTTTGCATAAATAGTATTCGGTATATAGTCCAACACATTACTGCAATGGAAAGTAACAAACAAGTAAATAATCATGTCGCGCGCTTTCAAGTACACAATTTTTTCTCTATTTAGATATGCATACGCACCCATTGTAAAGGAATAAATTCTCAACGTCTGTCATGTTAAGCGAATAAAATTGATAAACACCAAACGTCTCGAAAAACTCTCGCACTGGTGTCATGCTGTAGCAGCCGGCCAAGTCAATGCGTGGATAGTAAGTGATAAAGGACAGACACATCTCCTGTTTGGTTGAGTAACCACCGAAGGTTGGATGTTTGCGGTTCATCGTCTGTGGGTAAATTTAGTGAAGTAAAGCGACAATAAATTATTCAATTTGTCTGTCAAAGAAGCTTCCATCTATGTATGTACCATCGACTGTTCGTGGGTAGTGGGTTGAAATGCTCACCTCATAAGCGCAGTCAGTAATAATGTAATCGCCCGGGAGTACGACGACTTCGTGTTCCAGTTGTCGCACCTGTTGGTAGTTATAATCGTAATTGTCGTCCTCGATTATACGTTCCAACTCCTTGCCGCCGCGCACATGGCGTAGTGCCATTTTGCGGCCGGCGTGGTGAGAGTGGAGTGTGCCGGATATGATTTTGATGCCGTCTGCAGGAAACATCTGCCGAGTAGATAAAATATAATAAGCTAGTATGAAGTAATTTGTGGTCTTTATAAAGGAGTTTGTTGTTGTTATCAGCCATTATGGCAGCAAGAAACTTTACCACGCTTGAACAGGATGGCCCACATATTCCAATGTTGCGGTAAAGCTTCTGGCCGGGTGGAATCAGTTGAGTGTCGGAGACTGAAACGCCAGAAATCATAATACCAGCATCGTTTTGTCGCAGCCGATTGGTGTAATGTATGCGAAAGCCGGAATGATCTACCACTGCGAGTTTAGGGTGAAAGTGAAAAATTATATTTGCTCGTCACAGCATTTTCCGGAAAGAATTTACTCACTTTGTTGAGCCTGTGGATTGTCGTAATGTATTTCCAGCATGTAGTACTTAGCGCCTTGTTTTCCGCCCACAGGTATTCCGACATGATGCGGTAAAAATTGCCCTGTGAAAGAAGCGAAATGTGCAAATATTTAAATTGAAAAAGTATTACGTACACGTACGAACTTATACTCGTATGTACATATACAGGGAGGTGTACGTAAATTTAAAAATTCTGTACTTCCAAGAAGCAATTAATTCGCATACTATACTATATGTGTACCCAGCAGGAACGACCTAACGTATTCTCCAAATACAATTACAAAATTGTCAATAAAAACCAACACATTTGCATATAAGCGATATCCATATGCCGTTCTTTGCGTTATATAACACGTTATTAATCGCATAATAATATTTGATTGAAAAGAGACCACTATATGTAGGTTATATAATAGCGAATTCCATATAAAAGAAAGTAAAAGAAAGAGAAAACTGCTCACACTTGAAACGATTATGCGTTAGATTTCTCCAGCAGCCCTATGTAAAATGATGGAAAGTTTTTGAATTTCTCACACAAACTTTTTGTAGCACTAGGCGTATATAACGCATTAGTTAACAGATAGGGTTCTTACTGGGTATATACTTATGTTTGTATTTGTACCTGTTGAGCCAATAGTCCAGACTGCCACTGGCGTGATGCAAGAGTCCCAGTCATGTGGGGTCAATAAATTACTGTTGCACACCGCGCCGCTACTCTTCACCCACACCTCCCAAGAGAGTGGATCCGAGCCTGGATATGATTTTGTCGAACATTCGAAGAGAGTCATGTGGTGTACAAGCGGTTTATTGGTGTTGCTGGCATAAAAAATGAAAGTGAAAAAATTGAGACAATAAATTTCCATTAAAGCAAAAGGAGAAAAAGTAAAAGTGGCACATCAATTGCATCAAGCGAATGATGTTTTACAGACTGCGCTTTTTAATGTTTGTTTTTTTCATCACATCGAGATGGTTAAAATAGTATTTTTGTTTATTAAACTTTTTCAAATTTATTTACATTTCACGGTCGGGCCTTGACCATTTAAGCGCCACGGATATTTACAAGGTAATTCTGGCAACAATTTTGAAAGCTCTTACTGTCTTTCGAAAGACTAATTGAAAGATGTGCTAACGAGGAGGTGTTACGCGTTATGCGTAATTAAATAAGATCAAAAAAAGTATTTTTGTTTTTAAAACAAAGCCATGAAATTAAAAAAATTTAAATAAAAATAAAAGACAAAAAAAAATTAAAAAAAAAAAACATCCTTAAAGTTAAGTGAAATAAAACAAATATCATAATTAAAAAAGGAAATAAATAAAAAGATTCTAAAAATTAATTGAATAAATTCTTTTTTCTTTTTTAAACAATAAAAACTAAAAACTAAGAAATAAAACAAATATATTTTCCTTTTAAAACAGTAAAATTAAAAAAACTGTATGAAAATTAAATTAACAAAAAAATAATAAAGTGAATTAAAAGAAAAAATAAAAAAATTCTAAAAATTAAATAGACATATTTTTTTCAACAATAAAATTAAAAAATTTGAAGAAAATTAAGCTAACGGCAGAAAAAAATTAATTGAAAGAAGAAAAAACAAGTTCCGAAAATTAAATGAAATAAAAAAATATATTTTTCCTTTTAAAACAATAAAATATAAAACTAAATTTATATTTAAATATAATGTAAAAAAAGTAAATTTAACAAAAAGAAAAAAGTTGCGCTGCCCGAGGACTGGAACTCGGATCTCTTGAATTCCACGCCTGTGCTTTGCTCACTCGGCCATTGCGACTGTTGGAGTGGTAACAAGTGCTTTCTCTTAAAATATTTTTTCATAACGGGTGGTGAATGAGTGACCTTTTTTCTAAGACTTTTGTGCTTGGATAACAAAAGACTTTCGAACTATCTTGCCATCTGTCTTTCATTTGTCTTACGCAAGACTTTTTACTATCGTAGCCAGAATTGCCCTGTTACCTTAACATTAGCATTTTAGGTGTATAGTTGCTACGTAGCAATCTAAATAGCACACGTTGTGTTGTTTCAAAAGCAGATACCAAATTTGCACCTACTTAAAATGGTACAAATCGTTCACCTATTATATTAATAGCATAATTAAAGAGCATTCATTCTCCACTTCGTCTCTTCGCCAGCGTTCCGCTTAAAGGTGTTCTTACACGAGATGTACTTGCATGTGTGCATGCCACTTTTTACATATGGAAATGTCAACATATCGTGTAAAGGCAAATTAGATTTGCTTCTGTACAAAGCAGATGCATTTACATACGAAATAGAAATTCATATAGAATCATCTGAGTTTAATTTATTTAGTTTTCGAAGAACGTATTTTTAAATAGTTAAATAAACACTGTGAATCTGACGGACATACGCTATTGCATACGTATTGAAAAACTCACATTTACAGATGCAAATACATATCGTGTAAGAACACCTCAAGGAAGAAACTGGTAGTTGAGTGGATTGTGTGTATTTGCACAGAGAGCGCCAGAATGGCAACCCTTGCGTCAACGGAAACAACGAACGTTGGCCAACTCTTAACTTTTGACGCAAGATAAGATCCGCGAAAAGTAGAAAAGCACACTCCTGGTTTGATGCTAATCGGTACGTCAACTTCCCGTAAATTTATCAGAACTTATTTGACAAATAAGCGACTTTGAAAAAAAAAAACTTTTTGAGGAAGCTTGCGATTAAGTCCTGATTGAGCATTTAACCAGACATGAAGCAAACGGCCTTAGTATTTATTAAGAAAAATACTCATATTTTTGCAGCTATGTGTCTGCTGCTACCTTTCACCTCAAATGAAAACTAATCGGGGGGTTCTTTAGTTATTACTTATAAGAATGGTTTTCTAGCCTAGCATTTTAAAAATCTCTGTTTTTCAATAATGTGGATAAGTTATTTCCAAACAAAGTGCCAGGTATTTTTCTTCCGTTTCGATATGGAGGCTATGCTCAAATGTTGTAGTTGTAAATTTTAGAGCTTCATGAAAACGTTTATTGCACAAGGACTGAACTAATGAAGCGATTTAAAAGAAAAAGGCGGCGTTTGAAAGATAAAATTCCAAACCTATCGACAGATTCATTTTTGTAAGTAACCAATTCGGTTTCTGTCGTAGAAACAACGGTAGATATTAAAGTGCTCTAGCAACTTATGATTTACAGATATAACGTTCATTTACGGGACATAGGTTCTTTGAAGCAATAGAAATAGTAATATGTAAACATTTTATATAAATTCAACCAATATTGAGCACTTTAAGGCAAACATTTTTTGAAAAAATTTGCAAATTTTCTTATTGGTTGGTTCTTCTAAGTATGTTTATTTTATTCAAATATATGAGCATAAATGCTTTTCTATACAAAATCTCTTCGTTATCTGCAGTCATCAGTTTGCAAACACGTGCTTGCTCTGAAAGTGAGAGAAGAGGACAAAACGTATGTTTGTGTAGGCATTTCGGCTTTTGAGTAACAGATGGCGCAATATAAATATAACCAAATCACAGGGTATGTATGTAAATACATACATACGTACAAACATATGTTGATTGCAGTAAATGTGGATCTGTTTTTTCTTTATGTAATCTATGTACATACATATGTACATATAATAATAAACGAAAATTTTTTCGTCATATCAGATCGGTACCGTTCGTTCGATTTTACAAAATGACGTATAAAATTAAAGGGCTTGCTCTGTTGATGTACAATAACTTCTTATTTTTTCAAAAAGAGTTGCCACCTGATAAAAAAAAATAAGTTGAAATTATTTTTAAGTTAAATCAATTATTACACTATAAAGTTCTGAACACATTGAAAACGACAAGCTACGGGCCACAGCTTCCAATTTGTAATCTTCATTATCTAAACGCTTTGTCGATGGCGACACGATTTTTTTGAACGCGCGATAGAAAAATAGAAATAGATCTGGCCACAACCACAATCGTCGCGTAGCCCGGTCGTCGACAAAATATTTATCTACATAAGAATACGTCATGATTCAATAATACAAGGTTAGATAATTATTGACAGCTGCGGTTTGACACTCCCTTACAAAAGGTTGCATTTACGAAGGACAGAGAAAGGGCAAGAATGCAATCCCTTGTTGCGAAAATGGTAGTAGAAAGGTAGGCAAAGTAGGCAATTAGTAGTGAAATTCCTTTCGTAAATTCTAATGTATTTGCAGGAAATCTGGCATTTTAAACGAAATGTTGAACGTAATATTGATATATCTACGTGAATTACGTAATTTATATGCTATTTAGCCGTATAAAAACTGCAAAATGACTCAAAATTAAAATAAGACTACTATGAGATTGATGTAAACATCCAATGCTTATGTTTTCATCAGTTAAATATGCTTCATATGCATATACAAATAAACATATTGCACAAAAGCTTATACTTTTATTTCACACCAAAGCTACACTGTTTCCATGTAAATTTGCAAAGAAGCAACACGGTGCCACTGCTAAGGGAGCGGTGCGAGAGAGACAACTGTCAGTTTATCGATCCTTGTATTANTAACTGAGCAACTGTTCCTAGTCAGAAGTTACAGGATTTAGTCCGGAGATTTTTTTCCTGTAAGTTCATGAAAAGTGTCAAACGATCAGCTGATTTACATGTGTAAACAAAAACAGAAAGCGGTGAAAGCAAAGAACCTTATATTTGTTATAAAATGGAAGTAAACAACGAAATATTTAAATATGTATAGATTTTATTAATTATTTAGTGATATTTCAGCCAAATCAGTGTAGTGCCAATGACATGTAAACAAACCGTCTGACGTTTTTACTTCCTATGCACTTCCTATGACTTTTTGCGTTCCTATGCACTTCTGCATCTGTTCTCCTTTTACTCTCATTTGAGAGCGTAAAATTGTAGTTTGACAGTTCCACAGGTTTTAGTCCGAAGTTCAAAGGAACAGACTATATGAATCATGAGAATACGTGTTACAATAATTTGACAGCTGTGGTCCGTAGCTCGTCGTTTTCACTGTGTTCGGGCTATGAGTATCGATCGAAATGGTTTTGAACATGCGTTATTTCAAAAAGCAAGTTCGACTTAAAAAGGGCAGACAATTGATATGTATATCCTGATATGAACGTCAGACGAAAGAGGTTAGAGTTAGATTCAACTTTAAAGTTAGATTCAATATAAGCAACAGGTTAAATAAATTAATTCAATATAAATATAAATCGAAATGAAGAACCTTTATTTCCAAACAGCATGTATTAATTTTATAATTCAATTCAATTTGAATTAAAAGTATTAGATAATTTAAATATGTATCACAATACAAGTGTCAGACGAAAAAGGTTTATCGAGGTTTTGGTTTAAAAATATCTTAAACAGGATTGCAACCTATTTGAAAAGTCGAATTAAATTCAATGATATGAAATATTGAAATATTATCCTCAAACAAAGTAGTATTAAGAAATATTTAGTTTGAGCCTTTATAACATTAAAGAGGGTTTCCACCTGTGTAAAAAGTTAAACTCAAATTATTTAATAAGTCAAATGAATTATTAAAGTACATATGGGTATAAATTGACATGGGTTAAAAATGTTTCTTTCTAAACTTTATTTAAGATGGTTGCCATATGTTTCAGAAATTCTATTCAACTTCAATTAAGGCAATTAGATACACAATTTAAATATGTATCGCAATATGTGTGTCAGTCGAAGAAGTTTTAACAAGGTTTCTGTTTTAAAATATTTTGAATTGGGTCGCCACCTTTTTTAAAATTAGAATTAGCATAAGTCAAATGAAGTATTAAAATATGGCGTGAAACGAAGGTGGTAAG